TGAATCAAACACCTTCTCGTAATCTATGAAGGCTATGTACAGTGGTTGGTTATATTCTAAGCATTTCTCTATTACCTGATTGATAGTATGAATGTGGTCGATTGTTGAGTAGCCTGTTCGAAATCATGCTTGTTCCTTTGGAAGCGATCACCCTACCTTATCGGCGTATTCTGTATACAGCCTTTGAAGTTGTCTCACAACTGTCCAACTGTTGTGCCACAACGGCTGTTGTCCACAACGACTGTTGTCCACAACGGCTGCTGTCACCATAAAAATAACCGTCATCTGCCCTTGCTATAGCTCATTCTTTCTTTAAAAGTCGGTGCTGGACACTTTCCTATGAAGTGTGTTGAGCCCCGCTGATAGCACGTACGGCATTAGTGACATGAAGTGCCGGGCACGTGGCGACTAATACAAAGAAAAGAACGCGAGAGAGACAACGATAATCGTTGTTGGGAGGAAAAGACTGATGTACTGTATCAATATTATTGAATCAAAATACACACTTTATAATAAAGCGTTAATAAAGTCAGTAAATGTGCCACAAATTGCTTCAAGAGCGGTTGACGAGAGCAGTCTAACAGCCGTGGCTGCACAACGGCTGGCAAAATGGGAGAATTATAACACCGGCGGAACGGGTTGCCGTTGAGTCGTATTAGGAAAACTGAGGCGGTGTATTTATTCTAAAAAAAAGGCAGGGTAGGCAAATACGGCCTCAAGGAAGAAGTCTGGACACCACAAACACCGACTAACAACTGAAGAGACGCAAAGCGGTGAAAAACAACGCACGAAAACTTATATGCGCATGTCCATGCGATAGGCGAACCTATTAAGCTGGCACGAGTGCGGGTTTACGTGAACGATAACTGTTAAAACATTGTATTTCATATTTATGCATGTCAGAATGTACACTTCTATAGAATGGGACCCTTACTACGATCTATAGCTTAGGCTCTCTGTTATTCTAAGGTATTTTTTGTATAGGTAAGTTACTCTACTCAAGTTCCGTGTGCACTCACCACGTGTAACTTGCGGGTCCCAGGACTTCCAACGAAGACGGTCCTCAAGAGAGCAGCGACCCAATACACCCAGAGCATCGAAAATGGCTCGAAGCGGCTCGCAATCATCACGTTCAGCAGCAACGCGACGGTTCGCCACCCTTTGACTACCGTGAACGATGCACTCGCAAGGGCTTTCCGGGATAGTATCAATGAATTGGAGCCGGACACGTCCCACGTGCATTGGTTGCGGCCTCCTACGAGCCCTGGAGGTATGTAACGCATAGACTGAAGGACTCAGCCCTACCTTTCTAAATCAGTTACAACCGTGCATATTGCTGGCAGCATTATATTGCGTCACCTTTTTTTTTTGCTTTGCGATTTTTGAGACCTTGAGACTTTTTTGAGACCCGTGGTCTACAAAAAAGTTGCCGTCAACTGATCAAGTCAATTGAAAACACACGAGACATTTCAGAATTGTACTGTTTCATAGAAGACTTCGAAACGTCTCTCGTTTGTTCTTCATTGGACTTGATCAGTGACTGCTTACAATGTTTTATTGATATTCAGACACTATTGAACCATTTTTTTTTACTTAATACGACGTCTCGACGTGCCATGATGTGAGCAGTCTAGAAGGACGCGGCATACGTATCATTTACACACCTACATTCCCATTCGTGAGTTTAGGCTCTGCCAAGGTTTGGTACTAATGTGGTTGCTTAAGCAGTACATAGCCTGAACCAATGAACAGTGTTTCCGCAGCTCTATCTAATGTTAACGTAATTTAAAGGGACAATAAAGTCCAATAATAATCTACATAAGAGTGAAATCTCAATGTATGACTACGCCTAAAACGAGAATATTATCAACAGCACTGCCCTACTTATAGTGAAATTAAGGTAAATGCACGTGAACACTTGCGCTACGATAGGAAGCTTTCAAGAGCCCCGCCGCGGTGGTCTAGTGGCTAAGGTACTCGGCTGCTGACCCGCAGGTCGCGGGTTCAAATCCCGGCTGCGGCGGCTGCATTTCCGATGGAGGCGGAAATGTCGAGGCCCGTGTGCTCAGATTTGGGTGCACGTTAAAGAACCCCAGGTGGTCAAAATTTCCGTAGCCCTCCACTACGGCGTCTCTCATAATCATATGGTGGTTTTGGGACGTTAAACCCCACAAATCAATCAATCAATCAATCAGGAAACTTTCAAGATAATCCCGATGACGTCAGACGAACCGCCTAGAGTTATTCACTAGTAATGAAACTAGCTGCCTAAGTAAAGAACCTTCCGAGCATCAAGAGACGTAATAAAATGCTGCTTGTTCGTTTATCGGTTTGTTTCATGGCAAAAGAACCGCCAGACGTTACTGTGGGGAATGGCGCGAGTAGATCGCATGGTTAAACTGGATAGGTCATGCCATCAGCGGGGCCAATTGAACGAAACACGTCTGCCATCTCGGAGCCAATGGTAGGAAATTGATCATTGGCCGTTGTTGCTACTGTGGCTTCCGCTGCTTCGTTCTGCTTGCTACTAAAGCCGCCACCGCGCAGTAAAGCCGGGCAACGTTGTGCACGGCAAGAAGCGGACGTGAGACGTTCCGCTTCTTGAGGGGGGTAATTTAAAGTGCGCTAATCCCATGCTTACCATTAAAACGTGATTTTCTTTGAAAAAGGGCACTTCCTTCACACAGAAGTAAACCTACAAGGTGTCTGGACCGCCATTTAAACAATCAACGTCGACCTAATAGTTGCCTTCATTGTCTCTTTATATATAATGAGCGGATCAAAAAGAAATAAAGTGCCTCAACCCCTTCATCATCAATTGCCTGAACAGGTGAACTTTCGACTATTACACTACGTAGTCTACATGAAACCTGGATTTTCTAGGCAGACCAATTGAAGGTCAGGCGCAGAATGGGCAAGCAGATCAAAACATTCCCAGCGTTTCTCACGCACAAATTACGCACGAAACGTGCTCACAGGTACAGATGAAAGCGAATAAGTGTCTCAGTTGTTCCTTCGCTGTGTCTGAAAAGCACGCTCTTTTTGCTAACGAAGACTGTGCAACGATAGCAGTGACCTCTGTGCGCCCGATAACTACAACAGCATCGTTCAGGTGAAACCAAAAGTCAAGCAAGGCGTACGATCCTCCCCACCGCGAGCGTCGCCCCCCTCCACTCCACAGCGCATAGTAGGCATGGGAGATGAGAGAGCGCGCGCCGCCGCGTCGTGACGATGTGGCGACGCGCGCTCGTTGTGCCATCTTGCTAGTAATGCTGAAAACACGACTGTTCCCCCCGAAATATGCCGTCACCAGCGGTAAAGTAGTACATATAGATAGCTTGTCGTTGAACGTTGAAGGAGGTGCTCCTCACACTCACGATTCAGATGTCCCAAGCTCGATTTCGCACGCCAGATTCTTTTTCTGGATTATCTTTTTCCTTGCGTTTACATATATATAGATACGTATACATATACGGTGACCTGGCGGCGATTCATGTCGACGACGACGCCGGTGGCAAAATCCAGCCGAGAGTGTCCATATAATTGCTATCGCGATAAAAAACATAGATGTCAGACGGAACTCCGAGGAATAGCGAGAGACCGTAGGTGGTAGATGGACCACATAATGCTTCACTTCAAAATGAAAACGTTGTTGCAGATATTGACCACGGAAGACGACGACGCCGGAGGGCAGCATCATCGTGCTGATAAGCGATGGCATCGAAAACAGGGAGCCTCGGCTCAAGGACGTCTTACTACAGTTGACGGCAGCCAAGGTGGAAGTCAGTACGATGGGCATTGGGAACTTGAGGCTGATGATCAGCTTGAATGTTGGGCAACTGTCACGCGCGGCAAGGCGTCTCATTCCAGACGGTCCAGGGAAATAGGGCTCTCCGCATGCAGGCTGCCTTTGTAGAAGCTACCACCAACATTCCGGCACAGACAATGACTACGTCACGGTACGTATGTTCACTGCGACAGCACAGTTCCCCTAAATAACGAAATCATTTTCAACAATTTAAACCTATTTTACGTCAACTCATTGACAATTCCTCTTCTGTCAATCTTCGTCCACGCCTGTTTTGGGCTATTTGGCCTCCTTTTAGCTCAGTAATTGATCCTATCCTTACTACCAGGGTAGAAAGAAGCCGTTCACGGTCTCTCATGGACTTGAGCACAAACAATGACGGCAGTAACCTTTTCATAGAGGGCGCAGCCAGAAACTTCCTCATTGGGGGCTCAACCGCATTTCATTTACACTCGTGCGTGCGTTTACATTTGTACGTATATATATATATACGCAAGCAGTTTTAAAAAATCGGAGGGGTTTGAACCCTCGAGCCCTTCTCTTCCTTGGCTACGCAACTGCTATTTCGGAATGTCGTTCTGAAAACCCATCGCAGATAAAGGCGACGAAGGTATTGCCCAAATTTTTGAAGACAATAGACGTGTATCGGCGGTGATAAAACAACAACGATACGGATTAATAAATTGTGAGAGGGTAACTGTGCATGTGCATACTTGTCCTCTTTCTCTCTCTCCTTCTACCTTTAACTTTCCAAATGCCCTAAAAGCTTTTCTACAGTGTTGGGTCGAATTCCAGTTCTTGTCTTTTCCAAACATCCTTTCCAAGCCTTTCCTCATTCTTCTGTTCCTTTTTCCAATTAATACATCATAAATCAAGCTCTCTGTTGCCTTCGAGAGCGTTTTTGGTGCCCTCGGTACCAATTAATTATTATAAATTAAAGACTGTGGCGCAGTCGTGAAGCAGAGGGTTTATTTCTTACACTCACCAAAAGTTTTATTTTTCCCCGGTGCAGATATCCAAGCAACATTACAAACGCAGGCGCGAGCATGCATAATGTATGATTAAACACCCCTCCCCTATCTTGCCAAAAAAAATTCTGGCTACGTTACTGGTACCATATTGTGTCTCTGTACAGTATTATTTATAGTGCTTGCCCCGAGCATATCCTGTCCTATGGCCTGACATATTTAGCATGCCTCCAATCATTTGCCTTTCGACAGCTCACAGACACCGCAAGGAACTTTACGACAGGTTAGACGAAAAGTTGGTGCTCGAACCTTCATTGGGCAACGACACGATCGCTCTGGTCGAACTAGTGAAGCCCATGCAAGCTGACATCACGGTGACTCTTATCGATCCCAGTGGCCAAAATGCGAACAGTGCTCAGAACAAAGACGAAAAAACAAGGAAGATCATCATACCAAGCCCCGCGCAGGTAATGCATCATCTTACTGACAACTACTTCACTAGAGCAGTACTATCAGTCATATGACAGCTCGCGTTCACACGCTACTCACGCATACATGAACGTACTAATTCATCAGAGGCGAGAGGGACGGGGAAGGAAGGGAGTAGGTTCCTTCACCTCCATCCTGCAAATGGTTGCATGAGAAGAGCTCACTGCGACTCACACAGGAAATAAATTTCCCGCTTAGAACTCATTCGGACTCAAACTCACTCGGACTCGGAGCAATCACAAGTGATTTTCTTAACTGGGCCCACTTGTACTAAATGTCATCAAAGTATTGCTAATCCAAAGTCATTAAGACTCAGACTGCATAAAATTGGAAGCTTGAGCAAGTTGGTATGTTCGTTTACGGTTGGTGTCACCCAAGAAAACTCGAACTCACGACTCGATCTGAGTATCAGTTCAGTGAGTAAACTCATAGGCGAGTCTACCGATCTATTCTTTGTACATTTATTGTGTCTTCCGATGACGATCAGCTATAAACCCATACGACCCGCCTTTAACGCACGGAAGATTTCACCATGTGCTCCATCCTGACGGTCGTTTCCGCAATGAAGCAGTAATGGCATCATCTGAGCCACGTTGCTCGTTAAGCACTGCAAAAAAAGGTACACGGCTGGTTCATCTTTATCTCCGCCGCTCGCGACACTTTCTAATCGAATAGATTGGCGTAATTTAACGCTAAGGTTGTGGACGCTGAACTTAAAGCAAGTGGTAGAGTAAAAGAAACTGCAGTGACTTCTAAGCAATTAATTGTAATCACGACGTAGCTCTGCAATTATTCTACAACCAGTCATTCTACATTTCTTCATGAACTGAATTTAATGACCCAATCGAGTTATACGCCGTAGTGAGCTGCTGGTAACATTACTAAAGAGGAAAAAAAATATTTTGCAGTTTCTGGCGGAACCACCACGTCGGACTCTTCATTAAGCACGGTACTGCCATGACTAACGCAATAGTCCGTAGCGGCCACTTTATCTGAACCGTACATGATGTAAGAGAATTCAAAGCAACAAGTATGCTTAATTTACTGTTATTTCAGTGTTGTCGGCATCTCCCAAGAGCACACAAAAACAGCAAAAGCAAGTCGCCTCTCCTAATGGGGATGCCGTGTCACAATAGGTCATGCAACTCCCCCATTAAGTACACTAGCTTCGCAAGGGTACACGGTGTGGACGCTGCGTGTGCAGCGCCCCGCCGCGGTGGTTTAGTGGCTAAGGTACTTGGCTGCTGACCCACAGATCGCGGGTTCGAATCCCGGCCGCGGCGGCTGCATTTCCGATGGAGGCGGAAATGTTGTAGGCCCGTGTGCTTAGATTTGGGTGCACGTTAAAGAACCCCAGGTGGTCGAAATCTCCGGAGCCCTCCACTACGGCGTCTCTCATAATCATATGGTAGTTTTGGTACGTTAAACAGCACATATCAATCAATAAATTGATCAATCAATCAATCAATCAAGCTGCGTGTGCAAAGGCGGCGGTCGCATTTCGATGTGCGATATCGATACACGTTAACGAACACCAGTTAGTCGAAATTTCAGGAGCTCTTCACCACAGCGTCTTTCATATTGATATGTTTTGGGATTTAACAACCCCCCCCCCCTTATTATGATTTCTGCGCAAAGCGTGGGGTGCGAAGTCCTTGCTAGAAAATCACACTTACGATAATCTTCTGTGTGTAAGCACCGTGAATGTGTGTTTGAGCCTATAATATACAAATATCGTAATATAAAAAGGACATCATAGTCGAAATCAAGAAGAAGAAATGGTCATGGGCCGGGCACGTAGCACGAAGGCAAGATAACCACTGATAATTACGGAACGCGGACTGTATTCCAAGAGGAGGCAGGCGGGTGAAGCGGAGACCGGAATTTAGGTGGGAAGATGAGATTAGGAAGTCTGCGGGTACAAAGGGCACCAACAAGCACAGGACCGAGTTGACTGGCGGAACATGGGAGAGGCCTTTGCCCTGCAGTGAAAGTAGCCAGGCTGATGACGGTGACGATAAAAATAGATCGTAAATGCTGTTCGCGAACTCTAACACTTCGTAAAGGCACTACTTTCCTCCACGCACTCTGTCTTCGTCACTACTTTTATTTCCTCCCAGTGCAAATTGTTTGCCGTCAAGCTAGGGGGAGCTGTACTTGTGGCGCAGAGAAAGGTAAAACAAGTAGGTGGAAAACTATAGTAATCTGCCTTTGGGCTGAGAATTTAGTGTTTTGTTCATGGCAGCCATTCATCAAAGTCGAGGCGGTGCCTTTTTTGGATGGGCACTCTAGAGTACGGGCATTTAAACAACCCGATCGTGAAAGTTGTTTATGAATTTACCGGTCAATTTAGCCCGGCGAATGGACCATTCAAGTGGAAAGCCCAGAGCCTGGACCGGTGGAGGTCAACATCCAAGCCAAATCCAAAGGCAAGGATCCAAACAGCGAGCCGATCCAGGTCGCCTGCCGAGTGGCCAGCCTGGAAGTTGGGAAACCTGACGAAGCCATCATCTACGTCGACGTCAACAAGGGCAGGAAGGCCGTCCTCGACGCAACTGTGTTCGCCGAGGTCACCGGCCCCAACGAACCGTACAAAGCTACGGTGCAACTTCGTGACGACGGTCGCGGTGCGATTCATGTTTCTATTTCTCAGTAAGACTTCAACGTAAAATGTGTTTTAAGTTGGTCACAAACTAAGTCCCCAACTCGAGCGAGACTTCGAGCAAATCAAGATCCCACGGCATATCGTTACACTTATCGGGTCTCTTGGTAACTCCAATACATTGTAATATGACAAACACATCCGTAAACTGAAGTTTTGTTCTCCAGCCGACGTTTCGACAAGCGAACTTGTCTTCTTCAAGGCTATAACTCGTTCTCTCCTCGAAGAAGACAAGTCAACCTCTAGCCTTTAAGCAGTGTAGAAACGTCGGCTCGAACACAACAAACTTGTCTTTGAAGAAGACAAATCCACTAGCCTTCAAGAAGTCAAGTTCACTTGTTGAAACGCTAGAGCACACAACCCGTGTTAACGGATTTTTTCATCGGAAGCTTTTCTCTTTCCCCTCTTGCTGTTTCTTTGGATTTGTAATAATGACATTACACTAATGTTCAAGTGTTGCACCAGCCTGAAATTCGACAAGTAGGATTTGACCATTATTTTCTCTTTTCATATACATTATATGATCATAAAATTAATGATAATGAAATTCTCAGAAGATGGAAGTCTACACTATTCGTGCAAAGCTCAAGAAACTGAGAAGGTGGTCGACCTTGGAGTGCTTAAAAGTGGCCTCCTTAGCTGATGCTGTAGTCTTTCCACGGCGCAGAAAGAGTAGAGTCCACGGAAGTAGAGTCTAACCACAGCCTATCACAGACCCTGCAAGAATAACCTAACTGCAGCGCCAGTAACTCGTGTGCGAACCTGACTGTAGCACTCCAGCTAGAAGCGCGGGCATTTCATGGCTTCACACTTGGCGCCACGCCGTGCACACTCGGAGCGGCGGCAGTGCAGACTGCCTCCGTCGGTATAGGCGCGACTTCGCAGCGGGTGCTCCTCGGCGCATGCACGGAAAAGCGAGGTTCAACTCAAATGGTCAGCATGTGTGGTGTGGTTGTAGATAAACAACGGGCTCGAGGATGTTCTGCGCATGGGCGGATGAATGTTTTAAATCGAGCTTCATAAGTATAATCGTTCGAACTTAGCGTTACACCTTCATATACCATCAAAAAAAGCTCATTTCATGACAGTACAAGCTATATCACATCCAGGTTATGTAATTTAATTAAGACACGTAACGAGGAAGGCCTGTGAACGAACACACGCATTCGCATCTATTATTCTACAAGTGTTCAGTTGACCAGTTCCAGAAGTAGAATCTATCACCCGCCGCAGTTGTGAATTGCGGTCCACTGCTATCACTTAATGTTTTCACAGATGCCGACGTCCAGGCCAACGATGGAACTTACAGCGGGTACTTTGACGAGTTCACTGGCAAAGGGAGGTACGCCGTCACGGCTCACGTTTCGGGCGATAACGAAACTCGAGTGAGTGGTCCAAAGATTGCCTCTGGCGGCGGCAACACTATGCTCCCCCTTCCATCTGGTAAGCCACACTCATGCATGTATTCAATAAGTCCACACAGAACAAAACCTCATGAGGATCCTGATATATTTACCCAAGACAGGTCCTAGAGCAAAAGTGATTTCCTTTTATTCTCAGAAGACCCTGCTCCACCACCCTCCGAAGGCTTTCTGCCCTTCACCTGGTCTAGCGCTGCCTCTGTGATCGGCCTACTTTAAACAACATCATGTAGCACCATGATGACGTCACAGATGGTGATCTTTGACGTCATGATGACTACATATGAAGTCATCACGTGATTTTTCATCACGTGATTTTTTCATCCAAACGCATTTTTTCACGCGGTAAAAATAAACACACACCTATTGTACATGTATTCGAACTAGCTTTATGTCCTTAAAGTCGATAGGTCATTCATACTATGAGATTGACTGGGCGAAGGTCAGATTTGTAAATAATGCAGTGCAGTACCAATGAAAAGACGTTAGGTCAGTACCACATTCAGTCATCACGTGGCCAGCATGAAGGGATGTGAACATAACGCAAAAACCTATCGCCAGCCACAACGGAGCAAGGCGCCGAGGCGGATCACGAATACTCGATCGACGACTTCAAAGAAGACTACTCGACCGCCGAAGTGGCAAACGAGACGTCGACGAGCATTGAGCCTGCCGGTGCCTTTCTGAGGGTGGCGTTCGGAGGCTCCTTCCAGGTGACTGAAGACATCATGCAGAGTCAGGTGCCTCCAAGTGCTATCAACGATCTCACCGTGGTCCAAGTGCGCCTGGGAGCTAACGACACGTTGAAGGTGCAGCTCACGTGGACGTGGCCGGGAGCTCACCTGACATACGGAAACGGTGAGGGTGCAAAAGAGTATGATGTGCTGTACTGCCTGCGAACCTTGCTTGCTTTAAGCTACACTTGAACTTTTTACAGCTTCTGCCGTGGAGATTCGAGCCAGCAAGGACGACACCAAGCTGGACTCGGAGTTTGAAAAGCAAGAAGAAATGACCATGGCTGACGTTGTCGAAGGCAATCTCGACCCTCTCCCAGCCGGCAGCAAACACAAAGTGACCTTCGCGTTCGCAACCAAGTGGGCCACACTTCGACCTGACGGTGCCTTAGACTGGAAGATATTCCTGGCAGCTCGCGCGGCCAACAGCGACGGGCTCAAGTCCAATACTTCTAACGTCGTGCAAGCGACGAACACGCCACCTCCTATAACGACCACAGTGGCCGCTACTACCACGGTGGCCACTACTACCACAGTGGCCACTACTACCACGGGGGCCACCACAACGAAAGCAACTACAACGGCAGCAACTACAACGGCCGCAACCACAACGGCTGCAACCACAACGGCTGCAACCACGACAGAAGCCACTATGAAGGCAACCATGGCCCATGGAAGTACTACGGAAGCGGCAACCACGACGGAAAGTACAACCACGACTACGGCCGGCGGGAAGCGCATGCCGAACTCACCTGAACTCGCTCAACTGTTGATGTGGGTCTTCATTGGTGGTATCGCAGTCATTGTCATTACCGCCATGTTGTACGCGGTATTCAGAGCGAGCGCGAAAAGCCAAAAAGCGGTCAGCCGACGGCGGATTGTTCAACCTGCGTCTGCCGCTGATTCAGAACTGCTTTAGTTCCTCATATAATCATTCTACAACGATGATGCATGGTGAACTGTACATCCGAAACGGTACATTTTTGTGGAGCGACGCAACAGAATTTCTGGACTTGAAAACTGTGGTATGTGCAGCGGGTGCCCCAGCTGACTGCATCAAAGCGTACATCATTGTCCAACTTTGTCATGTGTTATTATTTTGTTTAAAATATTGTTGCTGTAGCTAACACAGCCAATTTATTAGCAGTAATTCACGCTGCCGGGTGGCCCACCAAACAGCAATCTTAAAAATACATTGACGATGTATTTGTGCCCTGGCAATTAAACATTGTTGAATTACAGTGAGACACAATGCTATATCGACCCATTTTGATGTATGTGTAAAAGGAACACAACAAAGGAACACGGACGCGTATGTGTGGTGATCTTTCGCTCACTCAGCCTGAACGAAATGTGTAAAGTGAGCGTTTGAAATATCTACATTTGTGGTTGTTTGTTTTCAAATCTGTGTTGACGTGTATGGAATGTCAAAAAATTTCGAACCAGCTAGAGGCGTATAATATATATATATATATATATATATATATATATATATATATATATATATATATATAGATATATATTATATAATATATATATATATATATATATATATATATATATATATTATATGTATATATATATATTATATATATATATATATATAGATATATATATAGCTTTCAGTGTCTTCCCCATTCCCGGTCAGGCAAAAGCACCAGCATTTTTAAGAAATCTGTTACACTGTAAAAACGACCGGCCTCTTTGTTGTTGTCCTTATTTTCAGACACTAGTCCTAAAAGCGAGATTGACTCTACTCCAGAAGGGACTTATTCACTCGAATCGAAACAGCAATGTAAAGCTTCTTGAGGGTGTATGTTAATTCTAGCCGAAGGTGTATGTACTTCATTTGAGAAACGTGACTTTACTCCGGCTAGGGAGATTGTTCACTCTCGTTCAGCCAAAGTACCAGACCTGTATCTACGGAATGAGCCTAGTGTGAACTGCAGAGACTTCCCGTCGCTTCTGAAAAGAGAGTAAAATATAGGACAAGCGTTTACCTTCGAAAAAAGAAATGCTAGCTTTATTTTGCTCCTGTGAGTGCAGTCGTATGACTTTCAATACAGCCTATAGTCACGCAGTCGGGGCCACATTTTATTGCGAGAGCAATTGTATGGACACTCTCGGTTGCATTTTGCCGCCGGAGACGGCATCGCCGCCACTCTACGTATATGTATACATATCTATATAAATGAAAACGCAAGAAAAAAATAATTCAGAGAAGGACTTTGGCACGCGGAATCGAACGTGGGACCCCTGAAATGTGAATGCGAGGCGTTAACCACTGAGCCACAAAAGAGCACCTCCATCAACGTTCAAACAGCGAGCTATTTATATCTACCACTGACCGCTGGTGACGGGCATCTCGGTGAGAACTATCGTGTTTTAGCATTGCCAGCAAGATAGCGCAATGAGCACGTGGCAGCGCATGCTCTCATCTCCCACGCGTACTTAGCCCCGCAGAGAGGGAGCAGGGTGGACGCTCACGCGCGCGCTTATCTCGTGGTGTGAACAGCCATACATCTTCCTTAGCCTTTGTTTTTTTTTTTTTGCTGGAACAATTCTGTTGGGGTTACTGGGCGCACAAACGTCACGGCAATTGTT